AGAAAGTTCGAATGGTTTATGGGCCTGTTGAGCCTATGCTCTGCCAAAATTTTGGGCCCGACACTTGGTCTAAACAAGCACACGCAAATCTCTTCTGAATAGCTTTTGGGCATGCTGGGGCGATGGCCCAACGTCTCAAGGTCTAAAGGACCTGCCCATTTAACTGAAGGGCCTGGATTTCAGAGGCCATACCTTGGGCCTCAATCTCAGCCCATAGCGTTGCTCTTCAAAATGTTAGCCCATATAGAATGGAATAGCCAAGGAGAGTTATAGTTTAATCACAAAGCCTTTCTAATTTAACTGATGAAGATTCCTTTAACAAGATAAATGATTGTTTAACTGCCGACTCTAGTTAATAAATGTGTCTAGTACTTGATGAGAAATGAACTGCTAATGTTTCAAGATTTGCACGGACTCTCAAATGAATTTCCATAATACATGATTTTGCAATAATCTCAGACTAGCTTAGGACAATAACTCTTAAAAATCCATAGAATCCTTTAGGCACGTTTATAATCTATTATCATGATTGTGTACATGTTCGCTTGACATAATTATGATTTCTAAAATAAATCAAGGTATCTCATCACACAGGAGATAACCCACCGGTTGTACTCAAATCAACAACTTACCATGAACCTACCATAATCAGAACAACTGGGCCACTAGCCCGCCTTTCCAAGTTCGTGCTTACCAACCAGATATAAGAGCCAACCTCGTACCACAAATGAATGACTTAAAAATTTAACACTACATCTGCTCCGAGACTAGACAACACATCATGATGATAATCAAACATCCATAACCCTTCGTAATCCATCTGGAGCATCACAGATTGTCGGCACATAGAAAATATTGTTAGACTCCATTATCGGAGTCAATCAAAGGAAATTTAAAATGAAAGGAAACCCTAAATCGGGAGAGAAGAGAGAAGAAAGATTTTTTTTTTAGTTATTTCATCTACCATGTTCTAGATACATCCGAAGGTATATAATCATTTAGTGACTTACTTACATGTGGATTGGGCCGGCTACTATACAATTGGGCCCAAATAATAAAGAATAAAAAATGGTAATGCTACTAACTAATGGGCTTTGTAGCAGAACAATTATGTAGCCCAACACCCCCCTCAAGCTAGAGGGGGAAGCCACTCCAAGTTTGCTAAGCAAATGGTAATGAAGAGGCCCTACAAGGGACTTAGTTAAAATATCAGCAGGCTGATCAACAGTAGAAATATGGTGGAGAGAAATCAAACCAGACTGCAAACAATCTCGAATAAAATGGCAGTCAATATCAATGTGCTTGGTCCTTTCATGGAAAACAGGGTTCTTGGCGATATGCAAAGCAACCTGGCTATTACAGAAGACCTGAATAGGAGAGGAGAAGACCAAGCCCAGTTTACCAAATAAACGAACCAACCAAGAAACCTCAGCTACAACTTTCCTCAAAGCTCTGTACTCAGCTTCAGCAAAGGAAAGAGAAATAGTAGGTTGTTTCTTGCATTTCCAAGAAATGGGACACCCACCAAAGCTAATGAAGAAACCAATGATGGACTTGTGAGACTGGGTACATGCAGCCCAATCAGAGTCAGCATAGGCCACAAAAGAAGTATCAGAAGACCTTGATAAAAGAATACCCTGTCCAGGATCATTTAACAAGTACCTAAGCACATGGAGGGTAGCTAACATATGGGGAACCTGAGGAGCCTGAAGGAATTGGCTCAAATGATGGACAGAAAATGCAATATCAGGTCGAGTGTGCTGCAAAAAATTTAATTTTCTCACAAGTCTTCTGTAGAGGCTGGGATCAGTAAGGGCTTGGCCCATATCAGGGCTGAGCTTGACAGAAGACCCAAGAGGAGTGATCACTGAAGTGAAGTGATGACAATTAAATTCATTCAAGATATCAGAGGCAAACTTGTGTTGAATAACTAAATACCCTTGAGAATTATTGAGGACTTCAAAACCCAAAAAATAATGGAAAGACCCTAGGTCCTTAATTTTGAACTGGGAGTCCAATAAAGATTTCAAACTGTCAAGCTCAATCACATCATCCCCAGTAAGTAATATATCATCAACATAAACAGCAATGATAGTGAGAGAAGAAGGAGAAGACCTGGTAAATAGTGAGTAATCATTCTTACTAGAAATGTAGCCCCTAGAGAGTAGAGCTTCAGACAGTTTAGAAAACCACTATCTGGAAGCCTGATTGAGGCCATAAAGAGACTTGAGAAGCTTGCAAACCAAAGGAGAAGAACTAGAAGCCATGGGGGTAGAAATCTGAAGGCCGTATGGAAGTTTCATGTAAACCTCTTCATGGAGATCACCATGAAGAAAGACATTATTCGCATCAAGTTGATACACAGTCCATTCCCTCTTGGCAGCAAGGGAAATAAGGCACTTGATGGTGGTAAACTTGACAACAGGAGAAAAAGTCTCATTGTAGTCAATTCCCTCATTTTGAGTGTCACCTCTAATGACCAACCTGGCTTTGTATCTTTCAATGGAGCCATCAAACTTTTGTTTGATTTTATAAACCCATTTACATGGGATAGGCTTCTTGTGAGGAGTAGGAGGAATAATTTTCCAAGTATGATTTGCATCTAGAGCCTTAAATTCCTGTAGCATAGCCTCTTGCCAAGCAGGATGAGATGCAGCCTGCTGGTAATAAAGAGGTTCTTGCAGATGAAGCTCAGTAGGAGAAACCTTGGAGATGTCAGAAGCAGGTTTTGTAAGGGCTGAAGAACAAACATAATCCTTGAGGTAAGGAGGAGTGTGGCATACCCGAGTGGACTTTCTAAGAGGAGGAGAAAGTGGCAAAGGAGGGGGTGTAGAAGAGTTAGATGAGGGGGTAGAAGAGATGGAGTTGAGAGAATCAGATGCAGAGGAAGAAGGAGAAATAGAAGGAGAATGAGGAGTAGAAAGTACTAGAGGAGGAGAAGGAGGAGGTGTTGATGAGGAAGATATATTGTCCTAAAAAAGAACAAGATGGAAGGGCCGTGGAGGTGGAGAGGGAGAAGAATAAGGGAAGATATGCTCATGAAACACAACATCTCTAGAATAGAAGATGGAATGGTTGGTGAGATTAAGTAGTTTATATCCATTTTTACCACAAGGATATCCTAAAAATACACATTTGATAGCTCTAGACTAAAATTTATCCCTACCAGGCTTGAGGGTAGTAGCATAGCATAAACAGCCAAATGATTTGAGGTAATCATAAGAAGGGGAGTCACCATGAAGTCTTTGGAAAGGAGATATATTGCCTAGGACAGAAGAGGGCATCCTATTAATTATATAAGTTGCAGCCAACACACATTCACCCCAGTATTTAACAGGCAAATGAGATTGGAATAACAGAGTTCTAGAGGTTTCCAAAATATGTTTGTGTTTTCTTTCAACCACTCCATTCTGTTGTGGTGTGTGAGGAATAGTAGTTTGGTGAAGAATCCCATTTTCAGAGAAGAAGGCTTTTGCTTCAGAACTCCCACCCAGTTCAAAAGCATTATCATCTCTGAATGTTTGAACAGAAGAATGGAAATGAGTTTGGACCATTTTGGTGAAAGATTTAATGATTGTAAAGGCATTGCTTTTACATGATAATAAGTGGTTCCATGTTACTCTAGAGAAATCATCAACAATGGTGAGAAAATATCTAAAACTATTGTATGTTTTGGTATGATAAGGACCCCAGAGATCTAGGTGAACCAGTTGGAAAGGGGAATTAGATTTGATATGACTTTCAGGAAAATGAAGTCTTTGTTGTCTAGACATAGGCCAAATAGAACATGAGAAAGACAGTTTAGAGGGAATTATGTCAGATAAAACTGAAATTGATTCCATCCTATGAAGAGGCATGTGACCTAATCTTTGATGCGAAAACAATTCCATTTTACTAACATTGGTAGAAGAAGTACAAGAGGAACTGGGGAAGGGGATAACAGAATTATAAACAGTACATGTATTAAAAACACTACATGCATTACCATATGGATTGACAGAAACAAAAGATGAACATTCAAGCATGTCAGGGAGCAGAAAGTATAACCTATAAGAAGCTCAACCAATTTCCAGTGGCCTCTTCAGAGAAGGCCCCTGTAGAAAACAAGAATGACTGCTAAATAATGCTAAGCATTGTAATTGAGAAAGAAGTTGATATACAGAAATAAGATTGAATTGGAAAGAAGGAACCAACAGTACATTGTGCAAGATAACGTCTGTTCTAAGTTGTAATGACCCAGTAGAGATTACTTTAACTTTATATCCATTTGGTAGAGTTATTAAGTAAGGTTTAGGTAAAGGTTGTAAGTTGTGTAAGAATTATTTATTAGAGGTCATATGATTAGTTGCACCTGAATCCAATATCCAAGGTATCTTTCCTAACTGAGCACACAAACATTGAACTGCAGAATTAACTACAGGCAACTGATCTACAAGTAGGTGACACACACCTGCAAAGTTGGCATAGGCAACATTGTCACCAGAAGTGGAAGAATGATTGCCAGTAGATATGTGAGCCTGCTGAAACAGAGACATGAGGTGTTGATACTGCTCTTTGCTGAAACCATAAACTGTGGGTTCATTTGGAGGTCCCACTTGAGCAGTATTATCTTCCACTTGTGCACAAGAAGCAGACCTTTTGTTCTTGGTGAACTTGAAGTCAGTGGGAAAACCATGAAGCCTATAGCATCTGTCTATTATGTGCCCAGGTTTCTTGCAGTATTTGCAAGACACAGAAGAAGATTTTCTTGTTTGATCAAAGTTGATTCTTTGATTGAAAGGCTTTGCATTATGTTGGTGGTTCCCAGGAAGATTGGAATTAGATGAAGTAGCAGAAAAGGAGGCTGAATCACCAGAGAAACCCAAATTTGGAGGCTGGTTTTCTTTTTGGCTTTCATCATGTTTAAGCAAAGAATATGCTTTGCTAATTGAAGGAAGTGGAGATATAAGCATGATGCTACTCTTAACGGTGGAGTAGGACTCATTTAGCCCACTTAGGAATTAAAAAAGGTGTTGGCCTTCAATAAATTTGGGTAATGCTCCACAAGAGCATGTAGGACCAACATAATCAGAGTTCAATTCATCCCATAAAGCCCTCATTCTGGTAAAATAAGTGGCAATATAAGAAGACCCTTGGGAGGTAGAACTGATTTCCCTCTGGATTTGAATGTATTTGGATACATTGGATTGCCCAAACCTCTCATTTATGTCACTCCACACTTCTCTAGCAGTGTTGAGACACATGACACTCACTGCTATCTCCCTAATCAATGAATTGGTGATCCAAGCCTTCACCATATCATTACATCGTTCCCAGAAGGGATAATAGGGAGAATTAGGTGGAGGTTGAGCCACTTTACCAGTCACCATTCCTAATTTATTCTTGGCAGGCAAGGAGGTAAGCATACTACTACGCCAATATACAAAATCAGTTCCATTGAACAGTATAGCAACCAATTGACTTCCAGGGCTATCAGAGGGATGGGCATAGAAAGGGTGAGACGGGTCCAAAGTGAACTCGACAAAACCATCAGCAGTAGATGAGGGACTCCCCATATTCAGACACAATGACAAACTTCTAGACTAACAAGTCATAGGTAAAAAAAAGTACAGTAGAAGCCCTAATTTCACAAGCATAACAAACCCTAATTTCACCTAGGTTTTAAATGCAAATGAGAGAATAAGGTTTTTACCCTCCTTCTTCGCACACCTGAAGAAGCTAAGGTTTTCTAATAGAAGGAACAGACGAAAGCTTCGAAAAGATTTCCAGATCGTTCTGATTGAAGAGTCTTCGTTCTGAACAAAATCAGCGAACCAAACTTGATGGTTACCATCGGACGATAGCTCTAAGTGAGACGGATCGACGGCAGTGCTCTGATACCATGTTAGACTCAATTATCGGAGTCAATCGAAGGAAATTTGAAATGAAAGAAAATCCTAAATCGGGAGAGAAGAGAGACGAAAGATATTTTCTTATTATTATTTCATCTACCATGTTCTAGATACATCTGAAGGTATATAGTCATTTAGTGACTTACTTACATGTGGACTGGGCCGGGTACTGTACAATTGGGCCCAAATAATAAAGAATCAAAAATGGTAATGCTACTAACTAATGGGCTGTGTAGCAGAAGAATTATGCAGCCCAACAAATACTGAGTGTGAAACATCGCATATGAACGAATAGGAAGAATCAAAATCGTAGGTTTCCAGCTGAAACAAGGACGCACGATAAGGAAAGAAAGAAGTGAAATTTTCCTAAATGTCTTGTTGCCTCTCGAAGATAGGTATGGACGTCATTATACCGATCCGCAAGACTCTACTAGACACTTGCTCATGACTCGTAAAACCTATAAACCTAGTGCTTTGATACCAACTCGTACACGTACGTGTACGCGTGACATGATTTTGGCACAATAAACACAACGGATATACACACACATTATCCGTTTCGAAGATAAATCCATAACGCCATAATTAAAAATGTTAAAAGGTAAAACACGCATAGGTTCTTATAATACGTAATTAACAATTAAGCCAGGTATGATTAAAAGCGACCGTGCTAAAATCATAAAATCCGAGAGTGTCTAACACCTTCTCCCGGGTTAACAGAATTCCTTCCCTGGTTTTTTGGTTTCGCGGACTTAAACAAAGTCAATTTCCTTGATTTGGAATTTTAAAAATAAACCGGTGACTTGGAACACCATAACAATTATTCCAAGTGGCGACTCTAATTAAATAAATAATCTCATTTCGAATAATATCACTTTAATTAAAAAACTCCTTATCTTCAGAAAAAAGAAAAAGAAAAAAAAGGAGGTGTGACATATAGTACCAAGGGTAATAGTCGCTGCATTATTTAGTGTTTTTCTTCTTACGGTATGTTTTAGTTTATTTCATTCAAAACGGGATATAAGTACAATATAAAAGGCATGATATACATAACACTATTTTTTATTCATCGGTTAAAAAGCAGCTGCTCTTTTCGTCTGGCTTCAGTTATCAGCAAATAGGTTAGTAGTCATGCATCGAGATGTCTTTGCGTCAGATGATTATGTCTTTTTCAATGTTGATTTACTGGACTTCAACATCTTTTTACTCTCAAAAGCTAAGATAGACAGGAAAGAAAGACTAGTAGTGGGAAGTGGGAAGGATTTACTGCAGAACACAATGAAGCATTGGCGGGGTAACATTTTCACCCAGTCAAATTTAAAAGTTGAAATTAAGCCATCTAGATATAAAAGGGAGTTCAGTCTACATCAGAAAACTATATTAACCAAGGTCAGTAACCAAACTAAGATGTCAAACATAATTTGTCAAAAAGTACGTTTTGCAATTAAAACAGATTTATTTGCCGAAAATTCTAGCCATACAAAGGAAACACGGAACTGCGCTAACTAGAACCAGGTGCAGCAGGAGAAGCTGGTCAGCCAGTAATTACTAATTAGTAAGTTGCTCGCTATCTCACAGAGGTTCGCCTTCAGGAACGACCTGGTCTTTAACCCACATATAAATAGGAACCAAAACATAGTATGTTGCTGCCATTGCCCCCAGAAGGAACCGCAACATAAAGACAAATGGATTTACAGGTTTCTCCACATCCTCTGCCTTTGGGCCAAGCTACAATTATGAATAAACCAGGGTAAATATAAGGAGGTGAAAAAACTTGCAACACTTTTTACCAACTGTATAAAGATAAAAGAGGCGAAGAAGGGTCCTCGGAATCCAGTGGGATTAGAGGAGAAGCAGAAAAAGGTGTAACATCATAACATCCAATCATAATTCACTCCAATGCAACCAATTAGAACTTGTAACTACAATAGTTGAACATATAGTTATGTGTTCATGGAATAGTATCGTGATGTCATCGCTCACTCTAAACCCATGTTCTATTTAAAGTCAAATCAAAATTATTTCTTAAGCAAACATCAATTCATCACTAATAAGTTAAAGTTTGTCATCTAACATTTTAAGGCAATGTGATGTGTTTGGGCATATTTAGCACACTCATATAGCATGTGATAAAGCAGTGATGATCTTTATCAAGATGTAACAAACTGCTCTACAAACAATTATGAATTACAACCCCCCCCCCCCCCCCAAAAAAAAATATAAAGAAATAAGATAAATAATTCACGAAATTAATCAGGTAGAAAACTAAAATGAATGTACTCCTAAATAAAGTAATTTCTTTTTTAGGGCACTGGTGGAGGAACGTGAGAAATTACCTGCAGTGGTGAATCACCAGGTGTAGACTTCACACCAGTTACAGAACATCCCATGATAAGCCCATGTCTACGAACCCCACGATACCATTTTGGGCCAATCCTCTTCAGTTGAACATCCTCGAATCCTGCCTTCTCAAACCAGTCTAAGTATTCTTCCTCCTTAGGGAAGAGCATCCATACATCAGCAAAGAAACGAGACAACCAAAAGGTAGGGTGGACAGGACCAATTAGGCACGCCTTTCCTCCAGGTTTCAGAACCCTGTACGCCTCTCTGATGCCTCGTTGTGGATCTGGCCAGTACTCAATACTGAGAGGAAAAAGATGATCAAGGAACTTCATTATGATGAATTTCAGACAATCTTTACAGCTTTTTCAATTGAAGAATGAAAATATTAACATAACTACTACCATAATTTAATTTTCATTTGAGCTGGTCATTTCACAACTTCTACTACCAGATGCAGATATAAGACACTTTGATTTCCTTTAAAGAAACTATAGACATTCATGTAGGTTGATAACGGGATCTACCATCATAATTTGTACTTACTAGTTATAAGTGAAGAATCCAGACAAATTATAAACGACTGTGACACGTGAGTACCGTTATATATTGTCAATGGATTTCTCTCAGTTTTTTCACATGCATGTAGCTTTCCAACAGTTCACATTATAGATATACAGGTTGGAGAAGGCGACAGCACAACCCTTGCTTGAAAATGACCATTAGTCCTCTAAATGAAAAAGGGCAGCCCGGTGCACTAAGCTCCCGCTATGCGCGGGGTCCGAGGAAGGGCCGAACCACAAGTGACTATTGTACGCAGCCTTACCCTGCATTCCTGCAAGAGTCTGTTTCCACGGCTCGAACCCGTGACCTCATAGCATCTAAAAATCCTGTTCAAGCTTTGGGAAAATTAAACATACAAGTGTTGGATAAAGTGTCCAAACACATGGAGAATCGAAACGACTGGTACTCACTAAGACTAATGCTACAGCTAAGACCATTCCAATTAACTCAGTTATAATATCCTAACTGAAAGGCAATCTATTATACTATATGCAACTCGAAAACGCCCGTTATGTAATAAACAATGATGATAAGAACAAAAATATAGCTAGAAAAGTTTAAAAAGGGAGCAGACATAAACCTTCCAGCGGATACATATCGGTCAGCATAATCTGTTTGGAAGGGAAGATCCTCGGCATCACCCTCAATAATTTTGCATTCTTTCAATGGCGCCTTTTGCTCAGCCTTAGCAAGCTGATGAGGAGATTGGTCAAGAATTGTAACATTCTTAGCATCCACATGCTTCACTATACCCAAAGTGGTAAAACCAGTGCCACCACCAACATCAACCACAGTCAAATTCCTGTCATTAAGGTGAGCTGGTTCAAGTGCATCGTCCCTCATATCTTCAGTCCAATGCCCAGGATTAATCACATGATCATACACAATGGATAAGAACCTATAGAACCAAAACGCCTCTTGCTTGTGCTGTATGAATCTTGGCTGTGAAGCTGGCCTAGATGTTGAAACACTGCACCTTGGACCTAGGGTTTTGATTTTATTACTGGTTATTGATAAACCCAACTTGGGGAATTGCTTGCCTTTGAAATCTGAACCGACAAAGCCTAACCCATTTGGGGAAATTCTCCTACAAAGACTTAAACTTTCAGTTCCACTGATGAGCATTGAATTTGCCATACTCACAGAGGGGTAAATGCAAAAGAAATCAAAGTCTTGAAATCTTTTGAAGCAATGACAAAGTCGTCAAAATCGAAGCTTTGCTGAGATATAGAGTGAAGACACCACTGAGGTTGTCCTAGAAAAAGGGCAAAATAATAATAGTACTAACCTTGTTTTCAATTGTTTCAGTTTACAAGAAATTTTGGTGGGCTTGAGTGACAATGATACAGTCTTTTGCCCCTTTGATAAACTAGTTTAATACAAAATGGGAATGGAAAACGACAATTGTGCAGATCACGGTCGGGGTGCAAATGTATATTTAAAACCGGACTAAACCAATTAAGTTAAAAATAATAAAGTATTAATTTTTTTCTTGCGTCTTGAATTATGAAAATGATTACAAGTCAACAAGTAATTAAGATCAAAATCCTAATTCTCAAATCTATTATGCTACTCCTATTAAAACTAAATTATTTCCATCATATTCACTAGCAAGACACAAAGTATTCCAACGATTTTGAGTAGCAAACTACATTATATTGAATATGTTTCCTTTAGTGTAATTTAGATTTATCTTTTTGAGTATTTAATTTTCTATATACTTTATTTTTGAGTCTCAACTTGGTTAATATCTTTTGACT